TCATTACTTTGTGCAATTCTTTTATTAATCTCTTGATGCAATTCCTGGAGATGAGATGCAAATACGGATGCAGACTCTGACACTCTAAACTTAGGGTTCATGGGGATTAAATCTATCGGCTGCCTAGGTTGGTATCCATATACAATCTCAGCTGGACTCATACCTATGGTCCGGCTAACAGAATTATTATAAGCAAATTCGGCAATAGGCAGTTTAGAATCCCAATCTCTAATATGTTCACCTACCAAAGTCTTAAAAAGGTTCCCAAGGATCCTATTGACAAAAACCGTTTGACCATCCGTTTGCGGGTGGAAGGCGGTGGAGAACTGCAGTTTAGTACCCATCTTAAGCCATAAAGTTTTCCAAAAATAGCTAGTAAATTTCACATCTCGATCTGACACAATTATTTTAGGGAGTCCATGAAGTCTGACAATTTTATCAAAGTATAAATTGGCAATTCTAAAGGCATCGAACGTTTTGGAACATGGGAGGAAATGAGCCATCTTAGAGAAACGATCTACTACTACACAGACAGAGTCATGCTTTCTAATGGTTTTGGGTAAGCCTAAAACAAAATCCATACTAACATCTTGCTACGGGCAGTTTGGGACGGGAAGTGGCGTGTAGAGGCCTCTTCTGCTTTCTTTGCTTAGCTAATTGGCAGGTATGACATCGCTTGATCAATTTACTAACATCCCGCTTGAGACTGGGCTAGAAGAATCTATGTTCAACTGCTGCAATCATCTTTGTCTGCCTAAAATGCCCAGCTAAGCCTCCAGCGTGTGGTTCCCAAACGAGGAATTCACGGAGCGATGTGTTGGGATTACAAAACTTTTGAGACTTAAATAAATAACCATCTTCCAACAAGAAATCATCTATAATTTGTTTATCTCCAATCGTTAGTGACGAATATACTTCTTTAAAATCAGGGCAGTCCAAATAGTCTTCCTTAAGTCGTTCAAATCCGATCACTTTAGTTCTCACCTCTTGGGTAATCATTAGTCTTCGGCTCAGGGCATCCGCCGCTTTATTCTCAGATCCTGCCTTATGTCTAATTGTGTACGTGTATTCTTGTAAGAACTCGACCTAACGACCATGACGGGCGTTTAATTTCTTCTGCGAGTTAATGTATCGCAAAGCTTCATGGTCCGAGAATATCACAAATTCTTGTGGAAACAAGTAGTGTCTCCAGTATCTAAGGGACTGAATGATCGCATAGAATTCCTTGTCGTAGGTAGAATATTGTTGACAAATATCATTTAGCTTCTCGCTTAAGTACGCGACAGGGTGTCCTTCTTGTGATAAAACTCATATTCCAATACCTGATGCGTCACAAGTTACCTCAAAAACTTTAGAGAAATCGGGGAGACGCATAACGGGGGCTTCGACCATTTTCCTCTTAATTTCCTCGAAAGCCTTAATGGCGGCTAACGTCCAATGAAATTCTCCTTTCTTGAGGCAGTCTGTTATGGGTGCCACTATCGTGCTAAAGTTCCTAATAAACCTCCTATAGAAGGTGGCCTATCCATGAAAACTCCGAACATCTCTAATATTTTTAGGCTCAGGCCACTCATTAATTGCTCTAACCTTTTCAGGGTCGGCTGAAATTCCTTGAGATGATATTATGAACCCGAGAAAAGTAATACTATCTGTGAGGAACGCACATTTCTTAGGATTAGCATATAATTGTTCTTTCCTCAAAATCTCACAGACTCGCTTCAGATGTTTTAGATGTTGGTCTGTCGAGTTACTATAGATCAATATATCATCAAATTATACAATGACAAATTTTTCTAGGAAAGGTCGAAGGACTTGGGTCATAACCCGCATGAAGGTGCTAGGAGCGTTATTAAGACCAAATGACATAACCATCAATTCATACAACCCATCTTTGGTTTTGAAGGCCGTTTTCCATTCATCACCAGGGCGAATTCTGATTTGATGATATCCGCTTTTAAGGTCAATTTTCGAGAATAGAGTTGCCCCAGTCATCATGTCTAACATGTCGTCTAGTCGAGGGATAGGAAAACGATACTTCATAGTAATTTTGTTGATAGCGCGACTATCAACACACATCCTCCAAGAACTGTTCTTTTTAGGAGTTAACAGGGCAGGAACTGCACACGGGCTAAGGCTCTCTTTGATAAATCCACGTTGCAGGAGTTCATCTACTTGCTTCTTCAGTTCAGCATGCTCTGTTGGGTTCATACGGTAATGTGGAAGGTTCGGTAGGGAAGCTTTGGGTACTAAGTCGATGACATGCTGGATGTCTCTAAGGGGTGGGAGTTGGTTGGGTAACTCCCTGGGGAAAACATCAGCAAAGGTTTCAAGAAGAGGCTTAACTTTCTCGGGGATATGCTCTGCTTGATCAACATCCACTTCTCTAGCTACCAGGGCATACATGGGTGATCCTTGGTGAAGCTCAACGTCCACTTCTTTCGCAGTTAAGAAGTGTAAGCCCTTATTAGGTTTAACAGGATTAGCCTTAACGTCAACCCTGTCGGATTTAGGTTGAGAGGGAAGTAATTTGATTTTCTTGCCGTTGTGTTCAAACAAGCATGTGTTTGATCTCCCATAAATATGGACGTCGTTGTCAAACAGCCAAGGGCGACCAAGGATAATTTGGCCCATATTCATCGTCAACACGTCACACCAAATTTTTTCTTGATATCCAATAAACTCGAGTGGATAAGGCTCCTATCTTTTATCTCCATGGAGGTTAAGTTAATCCAGGCAACCTTATAAGGGTTTGGGTGAGGTGTGGCTTTAATGTTCAATTTTGTTATCATCGTTGAAGAGACAGCGTTGATGCAGCTTCCACTATCAATAATGATCTTACAGTTCTTATATCCTATCTTAGTAAAGGTATGGAAAATGGAGGTCCTTCGCCAGTCATCACTTGGTTTAGGTTGGGACAACACACATCTAACAACTTGTAAGGTAATAGGTTCATCCTCAGTGAAGGAGTCTTCTTCCACATCAACATGTTGAATTAAATCAGTCTCAGGTTCGTCCTCGTCTTCATCCACTTCTTCAATTATGGTGACCTTATAGGGACTAGAACATTGCGATGCAATGTGCCCATACCCACGACACCTATAACACTTGGTTCATGAAGTGGCTTTGGGAGTGTCACGTTCGGGGGCTTTACCTTTAAAGTCCGGGCAAGGTAGGGCTAAACTTGCAGTTGGTCGGTTAACCATAGAGCTCGTGGGTCAGTTTTGGGGTTGGTTGGTGGAAGCTCGATATGGATTTGGGCGGGGGTCAAAATGCTTAGTGTGGGAATGGGTCTTGAACTCCTCGAGGTCAAGTACTAGACTGCAGGCTGTCTCTAACGTGTCTATTCCTCTCGCAAAAAGCTCAGTTCGGAGATCTTTCCTAAGGCCAGCTCTAAACATGGACAGAATTTGTGTTGGGGTAGCAGATTCTTCGCCATTGCAACGGATCAGGAAATCGTCGAAGGCTGAGATGTAATCTTTAACGGGCTTGCTCCCCTGGGTCAGTCTATTCCATTTATCTAGGAGCTTGGGGTAGTAGGATGGAGGGAGGTATTTTCTCCTAAGCTCCTGCTTCATAGTTCGCCAGTCGGTGATGGGATGTTCGCCTCGAGCCTCACGCATATTTTCTAAATTAGTCCAGTACAGGTTGGCTCGACCAGTGAGCTTCATTTCGGCGAACCTGACTTTCCTAGCTTCTGAAATGTTGTACCATCTTAAGTAACTATCCATTACTTTGATCCAATCTAAGAAGACTTGTGGGTCGAGGGTACCATCGTATGTCGGGGCATCAATTCTAATGTTCTTAAGCAACTGAGCGTCATTATCTCTCCAAGGGGTCTCATTTCCTAAGGTGTCTTGATTGGGTCTAGGGTTATGACGGTAGTGATCTCGTTGTAGTCCATGATCAGTCCTGGTGTCATCACCATAAGGTGAATGAAGCCTAGAAGGGGTGTAAATAGCGGGTTTCCTATGCACTCTATGTTATCCAGTCGGTCACTTGTTTGACGCCTAAAGTCAGCTAGGTCAGTCTGGGTGTTGCGGATTTGTTGTGTAACCGTGCCAAGTTGTCCCACTATGAGGTCTAGAGTCGCTTGAATATGTTCCGGATCCATGGATGGACGGTAGGGGTTGCTAAGGGTAGTACCGGGGTGGTGGACAGCACCTAGACGCTAAGGTAAAATGCTCCTAATGCCTCTATATGATGCTGAAATGTTGTGGACAGCAACCTACAGCAGGAACCTAAGGTGTCTAAGTGTTATGGGCAGGTTTTGATGTGTGGACAGCAACCTAAAACAAGTGTTAGGGTCACCTAAAGGCTAGTAATGGGTGCAGGAATTGTTCTGGACAGCAGGTTTTCTAGTTTGGCAAGTGACCTAAGCAATTGGGTGAGATGTAATGACAAAGACAGCACTTAGCTGATGTAATATGCTTGCTTATTATGATAAAAAACATGCAGAATTTTACTGGACAACAATGTAAAACAGAAATTTATAACAAGTAGGCAATGGTACGCATGCAAATGAGTTTCACAATTGGTTAACTAGACTCCTAGGAACTTATAGCACATGCAGGACATGCTACCATGCTCTGATACCAAGATGATGTGAAACTAGGAATTGTTTTCTTAGAGATTAATAAAGTTTGTTGGAGCGATGATAAAAATAAACTTTAAAGCGTCTCAAAATTGAAAACTCAAGAAATCTTTTAGAAGCAAACGATGCTTAGGCAATCCATTACTAATAAATTTGCAAGCACTTTAAAATAACAACGTAAACAAGAGTAATGAAATGATTAGTTAACTAGAATCCGACGGTTAACAAAGTAATCGTCTCACCTTGAGGCTCAAAGTCACTCTTCTACGTCTAGGGTTGTCGGAGGAAGAAGAACCATACAAGAAACGAAATCACTCCAAGGTAGACGGCGCAGACGATTCATAGTGATGGCAAGGGATGCGGCAGCGGTGGAGGAGGAGAAACGGGTGGATGGCCATTGATGGTCCAATCGTAGTCCTGAAATTGATCGTCTATGACGTCCACAAGAGTGGGAAGGATGCAATTCAAATAGTCTTCAACAATATCGTCGGAGCCAAACCCGACGTCGAAGAACGGTGAACGGGTGATATGGATGTCTCCGTAGACGTCGAATACCAATCCGTTATCAATCTCAGGATCCGCCATGCTTCCTTGCCGTAAGAGAAAGAAACACCACAAGGGGGAAGAGGGAGGAAGCCGGTGGTCTGGGCTTGGGCAAGTTGAGCCGTGGGTTTGGGAAGAAAAGGGGGTCACGGTTTGGGAAGAGGATGGGGGGAGGGTGAGGCTATGGACCAAGAAACTAAAATATGAATTTTAATTCAGATT